AATAGCAGCGGACCGTCAGAACAATAATTTTATCGAGGTTAAATACTTTGTTAAAGAAGTATGAAGTATTTTTACCAAATTTATCATTTCTTCATTTATGAAATGTTTCGCCATATTAAATATCATTTCGAAAATTGGCGACGAATTTATTATATGTACTCCCTTCAGGCGTACTGGTAAGGCATCTTGGCAATAGTATATCATTTTCTTTAAGGTTACTAAGTTCGTACGTCCCACATGTCCAGTTGTGTATCCCGTGACATCGATAACCATGATATATTCTGCCAACGATTCACGAGTCCAAAACAATTCGTCGATTGACATAAGACAGGCTTTCAATGAATCACTTAGGAAGAAATGCGAAGGATCCATATCGACCATCCGTGAAAAAAATATGCAATATTCTTCCTTTGTCTTTCCTTCCAACTTAAAATAGGCCCTTTTGAACAAGAATACAATCATTTATATAAGAGTTTCTTGCAAGAATTTCAACTATATTATTATAACTGTCAAAAGATTTAACATAAATATTTATATTAGATATTGTAATCAATATAAAGCGGACAAATACAGTCATGGATAGAAAAGTTGTTGCATTTCCTAAGTAAGCCCGGGGAATAAAGATCATATATGCAATTTGCTCATATATATGACTATATATAATCATATATGTCCACCACGGAAAAAAACTGCTGTTTACAAATTATATCCAAATACAATTTAAGTAAATACAATTTAAGTAAATACAATATAAGTAAATGCTTCTGGCTACTTGTGATTCTGACAGCACATGATATCGACATTTAATTAAATGATATAACATCTTTTTTTTCTTATAAACATATATCATATATGTAACCACATATAAAGGCAAAATTAATATAGGATTTTATAAAATTATATATAATCATATATAATCATTTTTTTCCGGGTAGTGATATCGAAAATCTCGAATTAACCGCATCATTTTTTAATATCCGTGCATGATGACTGCTACTTTGGAGTATCCTTATCGGTTCACAGAATAATCAACAGTTAAGATGCATAAATATTTAGAAATAGTATTACAAATTCTTGTCCATTCTAATTTCTCAAAACAAGGATTTGTTTGACTGGCAAAATTTATGACGAGGTTATGTGTTTACATATAATAAATCGAGTATGTATATGTTTAAGTAGTAATCAATATCAAGACATTTTATGCTTACGTGACTTTGAAAGCATCTCGCAGTTGTTTCACATTTCGTATGTCTCTGTTGGAAAATAATTCCGGCGCGTGAGATCTATAAGTGTAATAATTCTCGATCCTTTTCTTCGTCGACTCTATATGATAATAACTGCTGTGTAGAAATATGGCGAGCTCCACGTCCTGGATTTTCGGCAGATGTGGTTGTTTTTCGCACCATTCTCTCAGAATCTGTATGTCTGATAACTTTAGCTCTGGATTTTTCTTCAATTCTTCTTCGAGAGTAATTCGCATTATCGAAGACATCACTCAACGATTCGTAATTTTTATAAGATTGTGTGATATTAGTGCAAATAAATCTATTTGATGAATGACAATTTTCTTCGTAAAGAAGGAACAAGCCGTATCTGATGCTCGCTTGGCTATCACGTCTCAACGTTAATATAGTTCACGTCTCAACGTTAATATAGACTATTCGTTATGGCTTTTCTATTCGTGATTGAATAACATATCTGACGCAGCTTATCTTTTATATCACCGCCTTTTATTACCACTTCTCCTCTGAGATTTGCTTAATGATCTGTAACGTTTTTTCATGTCGATGTTTTGCACTTTGTATCAAACCAGTAAACAGACATAATTGTGATTGACGAAACCTATCAATATGCGAAATTTTTTCATGTGTATCGTTTTTATAATTGCATTAATAAGTATTGGGGTTAGCGTATGTAAATTAGATTTATCTGTGCCTCTCTGTAAACATAGTCTGTATGTCACAGCTCCAAGTTATAATAGTATACCGATTTGGAGCATGACAAATTTCTTTTTGTTAATAGAACATATTGACATTTTTGCTGCAAGAAATAAGGAAACGTATAATAATAAGTACACTTAAATACGGATTTGAAAATAAAAAAACAGTTGTTGACAAAAATAAGATTCGAACATCAACTCGAAGAGTTCACGTAGTAATAGACATCATTTCACCTGTTCAGTATGTATGCGTAGAACATACCAAGCTAGATTTTTCTGCCGAACGCAGCAAATCATTTCATGTGTAACACATACATAATGTAATAAATACCGTAAATATCGAGTTTATTATATCAATGGAATATGGAGGACATGATCGCATCTATATCTTTGAAATGTCACCGTCTTATACAATTTACAACAGTTGCAAAACTATCGACAGTGCAGCGCAAAACGTTTATTAAGCTGTTTTTTTCTGCTGAGCGCAATTAATCACGCATTTTAACACATTCAATACATGTGTAACATACATGTAATATTCTTTTATCCGCACATATGTCTTTCAGCCTCATGACGTTGTGTCTCGAATTTATACTTTAGCGCACATTTCTTGCAAGCTAATATTTCAAAGATAATGTGTCAAGGTTGGTCAAGGATATTATATAAAGCGAAAACCACGAGGTAACTCCTGCGTCTGTGGACGCACGTATTCTGTTTGTTTTGAAGCAAAAAGGTCAACCAGTAGCATATACGCGAACGTTGCCTGAGGGCTTTTTTCTTCCCCTTTTTTGCTATGGTTCTCAAGCAGAAATAACCCTGAAAGCACACATCTCTTAGGAACGTCCTGAGATGTCCGATGTCCTAAGAACATCCACAGGATATCCACTGAATGTCTGTGGGATATCGTGTGTTGTTTGGGAAAATTATAGAAACAAGAATTCGAATGTTTTTTTTATGACCGATTATAAGTTTTGAATGAACTTTGAATGATAAGCTTTAAATAAAGTTTAATGTATTGGGTGGTTGCAAAAGTTTGTGTACGATTTATTATTAAGACTCAAGCAGTAATTTGGTATATAACATTTTTTTATTAATCTTCGATATAATCATCGTTGTTTTTTATAAATCTCCCAATATTTTGATAGCATACGGATGCCACGGATTACCAGAATTACTTTTCTATAAGGATTCCGGACCATATACATATCTATTTACTATTATACCTTAAAAATATAAGACGTTGTAGTATTATAGGACTGGTCACAAGTGACTACCATTTATTTTTAACACTTGTATATTTCTTTAAAGCTTTTAAAGCTAACGATATAAAGTATTTTTCAAAGAAATTAATATCTAGGAACATTTTTCAAAACTCTTTTCTATGTTATTGATTTGGCACTACATGATACTTATATACCTTAAAATTGACTTAATCGATTTGTATTTGTTTAAAAGTACCATTCACGCCGAACAAATCATTAGATGTTTTGCTATTGCCGGTCCGCAGTGATTCGTTCACGCGATTGTTCGTTTCGTCTTCTAAAAACTGTTCGTGGAAGTTCTCGATTCTCTTCAATTGCGCGTCCATTAATTCTTGTATCGGACCTGCTTTCCCACCACATTCATTGGGCAACATTTTTATTGGAAAGTATCTGTTCAGGCATTGCAGCGACGAATGAAAATATATCTGTAAAAAATATTATTAATATCATATATATTCTATTTAACAAATTTCCATGGAGAACTTTAACAAAGTAAACCCGGTGTGATATAATTTTAAAGATATATATCGCCTCCCCCCCCCCCCCNCCCCCCCCCCCTCCTCCTCCCTCTCTTCCCGCTAATAGCAGCGGATTGTCAGAACAATAATTTTATCGAGGTTAAATACTTTGTTAAAGAAGTATGAAGTATTTTTACCAAATTTATCATTTCTTCATTTATGAAATGTTTCGCCATATTAAATATCATTTCGAAAATTGGCGACGTATTTATTAGGTGTACTTCCTTTACGCGTATTGGTATGGCCTCTTGGCAATAGAATATTAGTTTCTTTATGACTGCTAAATTCACACGTCCTGCATGTCCAGCTGTGCATCCCGTGACATCCACAATGACGATATGTCCTGCCACCGATCCAAAAGACCAAAAATATTCGTCGCATGACATAAGAACGGCATTAAATATTTCATTTGGGAAGAAATGCGAAGGATCCATATCGACAAGCCGTCCAAAAAATACGTAATATTCTTCCTTTGTCCTTTCTTCCATCACAAAATGGGCCCTTTTGAACAGGAATACACCCATTTGTGTAAAAGTTTTTGCAAGAATTTTAACTATATTATTATCCGATAGCACATGATATCGACATTTAATTAAATGACATAACATAATTTTTTTTCGTATAGACATATATGATCGTGTATGTAACCACATATATGGGCAAAATTAATATATGATTTTATATAATTGTATATATCATTTTTCCCCGAGTATATTGAAAATCTCGAATTAACCACATCATTTTTTAATATTCGCGCATGATGACTGCTACTTTGGAGTATCCTTATCGGTTCACAGAATAATCAACAGTTAAGATGCATAAATATTTAGAAATGATATTACAAATTCTTGTCCATTCTAATTTCTCAAAACAAGGATTTGTTTGACTGGCAAAATTTATGACGAGGTTATGTGTTTACATATAATAAATCGAGTATGTATATGTTTAAGTAGTAATCAATATCAAAACATTTTATGCTTACACGACTTTGAAAGCATCTCGCAGTCGTTTCACATTTCGTATGTCTCTGTAAAAATAATTCGGGCGCGTGAGATCTATAAGTGTAATAATTGTCGATCCTTTTCTTCGTCGGCTCTATATGATAATAACTGCCGTGTAGAAATATGGCCAGCACCGCGTCCTGGATTTTCGGCAGATGTGGTTGTTTTTCGCACCATTCTCTCAGAATCTGTATGTCTGATAACTTTAGCTCTGGATTTTTCTTCAATTCTTCTTCGAGGGTAATGCACATTATCGAAGACATCATTCAACGATTCGTAATTTTCATAAAATTTTTCTCGCACTTCACTGTCACAAGATCTTTCTGAATGACTACCTCAGATAAGCATTTCTTTGTCAATTTCCCTGGTTTTCAATTATTCACCTTGATGAAAACTAACTGATGTTAATAACAATTCATCAGATTGTGTGATATTAGTGCAAATAAATCTATTTGATGAATGACAATTTTCTCCGTGAAGAAGGGACGAGCCGTATCTGATACTCGCTTGGCTATTGCGTCTCAACATAAAATGTACACTGTTCGTTTCTCCTCCTCGATCCTGTTGCTTCCGTTGCATAAGCGACCGCTCTTATATGCTATATGCCTGCGTCGCACGTATTGTTTATACTCAAGGATGTGAGACTTACACTTTACAAGGATGTAGGACCGGTTTCGTACAGCCATAATTATTTTTAGAAAGGTTTTCTTTGGCAATGAACGCAGGCAGGATATTCTTGTTGGTTTACTATTGTCTGCCAAGAGGAGACACGATCGTATAATATTTTGGATTCTACCGGGATCGAATCTGGTATCACTAACGTAGCAGACCAGTGCGCTGTCTGACCATACGCTTGCGCTGTGTTGTTCGTTGCTGTCTCTGTAATCGTGATTGCAAAATATATATAATGCAGTTTATTTTTTACATTGTTGTTATCACTCCTCTCCTGAGATTTACATACTGATCTGTTACGTTTTTTCACGTAGATATTTTATGCGTTTTACGTCAATGTAGTAAAAACATACGTTCGTCATTGATGCATATGTATGAGCGTCAATTTTTCTTGTTTATCATTTTCATAATTTGCATTAGTAAGTATGTATTGGAATTTACATATGCAAATTTAAATTCGTTAATTCTTCTCGTTTAAACATTGTCTGCCATAGCTCCAATTTACAATAGTACCGATTTCGAGCGTGACAAATTCCTATTTTTAATTATAAAATATTAACCTTCTTATTGCAAAAAATAAAGGGACATATAATAATCTGCTTGAATACGGATTTGAAAATAAGAAAAATAATTGTTGATAAAAACAAGACTGTAGTATTAACTCGAAGTGGTCTTGTGGTAGTAGATAATCGTCCTATCTGCTCAATATGTACGCATAGTGCTTGCTAAACTGCTTTTCCCGTTGAACGCAGCCAGTCACTTCATGTGTAACACATATGTGCCATCCTGTATTAATATAATAAATACCGTCAATACCGAGATTATTATATCAATGTAGCATGGAGGACGTCGTATTTATATATTTGAAACCTCAGCGTACAATAAATGGGCACTAAAGTAAAAATCCGGAAAACCGCATCGTCGTGCTAAAAGGCATATGTACGGATAAAAAAAACATTAAATATATATTATACATGAAATGTGCGATTCAGCAGAAAAAGCTGCTTAATAAACTTGCGTTGCATTATAAATAGTTTTGCAACTGTCGTAAACTGTTCAAGGTGGTGGCAATAATGTAAGGGTGACCCAGAAGTCACTAGACCATTTTAAAATATAATGACTTTCTGCTATTCAATTTTTCAATTTTTTCTTCAGATTATTTATATGTAATCCTTGGAAAATAGTTATGGAGAAATTCACGACGGAGCAAAAATAATCCAATTTTATCTACAAAATCGACGATCAATGCTAACCTAAAGAGCTTATATTCGTCATTTTCGGGTCAGACAACCACCATCTAAACAAGTTGAGTATCGTTTGTTTAGATTAATTATTTAGACATATGGTTTCCTTTATAGCTGCACTGTTGGACCAGTGCAATAAATTGAAGTGAGACAAGTTTATATTTTTTCACTTCAACATATTGCACCAGTTCAGCAGTGCAGCTACAAAAAATAGGTCAATTATCTAAGGCCAAAACTACGCGGAAACATGGCTACGTAGTTCTCTGGATGCACACGTTCAGGTTGTTTTGAAACAGAAACGCCGACCAGTGGCATACACGCGAATGTCGCGTAAATGTTGATTTCAGTCTCTTTTTTCCTACGGTTCTAAAGACAGAGACAGAACTCTCTGTTCAAAAAGAAACGCGTTATAAAGCCTGGCAGCTCGGGGAATCGTTGGCTCCACGGTCGAACGTGCGGATCAAAGATGAAAAAGAAGGTTTCTTTTTCATATGGCGCTAAATAATGAATGTAAAAGATATAATTATGAATATTACGTGATATCTATGTAACGAATATACGTCATTCTTTCCGTTAGATCATTTCAATAATCCTCACTGATAGGAATATATTGAAGACATCATTCGTAAATTTTGATTTGTTAATTTTTCCCATAAAAATACAATCGCACATTTGCTTTTGTTTTCTATCTCTCTCTCTTGACAGTATAAAATAGAGCTTATTGTAATATGCGTCTTACTTTTATTGAAATTAAGTTCCTTTTGCACAAAGAACAGGTTTCGACATTATTTTTGCAATTTTAATGTCTGGTTTTGCAACTGACGTTATCGCGGCACTAAATGAATATAAAAAATGAATATAAAAAATACAACTACGGATATTACGTGAAGTAATTAAGGCGTTTGAGAATAAGAAGCGTGACTCGTATGTGTGTGCGTAGAATAAAATATGATACGTTAATACATTAATCTCAGTATCGTACTTAATTCTAACTTTATTAACTAGTTCTTCGATGAACGTATTCATTGTATCTACGTTACTGAAATACCATATACTAGAAATTGTGATAGATAAAAGCTATT